GACTTAGCCACATATCTCCATTCTTCCTCAGACTTACAGCTAAGGTACGGTCATTTGCGATGCATATCAACTGTTGGGCCAGGCCGTTCAAAAGCCTTGTTCGCAGCGACAGATCTTCGAAGTCATGGCGGAAAGGAAAGGCGATTCCATCAATCACAATCAGCTGCACCTAAGGATCAGATATAAAACAGAGAGAGCTCCATTTCCACGGAAATCCGTCTCAGAAAAGATGGGATGCCTCTAAATATTCTCTCTCTCTCTCTCTCTCTCTCTCTCTCTCTCTCTCTCTCTCTCTCTCTCTCTCTCCCTTTCTCTCTCCCCCTCTCCCTTCCGCCCTCTCTCTCTCTCAGGGACCCCTCACTATGAATCAAAGGGCTACTTGACATTTTATGGTTGAGGGAAATTAAGTATAGATTCATCTGAAAGGGATCAACCCTTTGCCTCGTTTGAGTTGTTATTCTATTTACAGAATTTCAAGTTATAAAACCATGATGAAGCTCACAGGAAACGGCTGCAGTTTTTTCCTCCATCAGATGTTAAAAAAAAACAACCAACAACCCAAGAACTGTAGCATCTTAAACAAGCCTCCCACGATTCTCAGATGTTCTGACTGTTATTGTGCTTAGCTGTTAGAATGACCTTTAAATGGAGAAGAGGTCAGGTATTAGCTCAGAAGAGATACTGGTGTCGGTTATTAAATCATTTCAAATTGGAGAATTTCCCCTCAAAAAACAAACAAACCCACAACCTTTATGCAAAAAGCTGATTTGTTTCAGAAAATGTTTAGTTTGCAGGGAAAAAATAATCAGTCCACATTACTGATTATAAAGAAAAGCTTTTTTTAAAAAAAAAAATTCCAGCTGTTATCACCCAGTGTTTAGTTCTGAGTTCCCATAATAAACACCTGAAGTAAGGAGGAGTTTATAGTGACCCCTCAATCTATTTCAATCTAACTTCCTTCCTGACAGTTAGAACAATTAACCAGTGGAACAACCTGCCTCCAGAAGTTGTGAATGCTCCAACACTGGAAGTTTTTAAGAGATTGGACAGGCATTTATCTGAAATGGTATAGGGCTTCCTGCCTGAGCAGGGGGTTAGACTAGAAGACCTCCAAGATCCCTCCCAACTCTGTTATTCTATTCTATTCTATTCTATTCTATTCTATTCTATTCTATTCTATTCTATTCTATTCTAAAATCCCTCCCAACTCTGTTATTCTATTCTATTCTATTCTATTCTATTCTATTCTATTCTATTCTATTCTATTCTATTCTATTCTATTCTATTCTATTCTATTCCAAGCGTGCAGACAGGTAAGTGACTGATGGTGGGTGGGGCAGAGAGCGAGGAGGTGTATAAACTATGGACAGTTTCCAGAAAACAGATAACAGACAGCCATATAACTAGAAGTCAAAACACCCAAAAACATTTAGTCAAGGGAAAATAATCTATTATTTCTATTTCTTGAAGTGGCATGGTCGAGCCGAAAGGGTGAAATGATAGGAGCCTCAAACCTCCTGTCTCAAAAATGTTTTCGAAATATATACACCCCAGCTCTGCCTCCTATAAGTCACGGCAGGATAATTCTTGCTGCCACCAAAAGGGGATGCTTTTGCTTGGCACCCTCCCCTTTTCCCCCTATATGTTGTAAAACTCAGGGCAGTTACTAGACAGCAGGGGATGGTTGGAACGAACGTTACCTCTGTGCCAGATTGTGATTTGGAAAAATCTTTCTTCCTACAAATTCCAAAGAAGAACCTTACACTAGCTCTCCCTTTCTCCCCTGGCGCGACTTCATCAGACAAATTCTTACATCTTCCCCCACAGCCCCAACAGAAGTGCCTGCAGTTTCCAAGAGAACAAATGTTTTTTTTCCATCTGGACCCGCAAGCGCTTGTGGGGGAATCTCTCTTTTGAGCTGGGTACTAAACCAAGAATTATCTTTTCAGGAACGTTCTTGTCAGGAAGATCTGTGACATCCAGGTAGTCCTCACTTAACAATCGTTCATTAAGAGACTGCTCGAACTTACGATGGTGCTGAACAAGAGCATTAACAGAGGGATAGAATCAAGATCACGCGAAGTATTAATACCACTTTACAAGGCCTTGGTATGGCCACACTTGGAATACGGCATCCAGTTTTGGTCATCACGATGTAAAAAAGATGTTGAGACTCTAGAAAGAGTACAGAGAAAGCAACAAAGAGGATCAGGGGACTGGAGGCTAAAGCATATAAGGAACGGTTGCTGGAATTGGGGATGTCTAGTTTAACTAAGAGAAGGACGAGGGGGGACATGATAGCAGTCTTCCAATATCTCAGGGGCTGCCCCAAAGAAGAGGGAGTCAAGCTATTCTCCAAAGCCACTGAAGGCAGGAAAAGAAGCAACGGATGGAAACTAATCAAGGAGAGAAGCAACCTGGAACTGAGGAGAAACTTCCTGACAGTGAGAACAATTAACCAGTGGAACAACCTGCCTCCAGAAGCGGTGAATGCTCCAACACTGGAAGTTTTTAAGAAGAGACTGGACAGCCATTTGTCCGAAATGGTATAGGGTTTCCTGCCTGAGTAGGGGGTTGGACTAGATGACCTCCAAGGTCCATCATCATCATCATCATCATCATTATTATTATAGACTCTTAGGACCAATCCTCAAAGCTCTGGCAGTTGAAGCATCCCTGTGGTCACACAATCGCAACCGTGACGCTCAGCAACCAGCCTGGATTTCCAACCTTCACGACATCCTACCGTCATGGGATTGCGATCTGCAACCTCCCTACTGGTTTCCCACAATCAAGTCAATGGGGAAGCTGGTGGGAAGTCGAAAGCTCTGGTCACGCGAGGTCCTTGCTTAATGATGAAAACTGGGGACTGCCGGAATTGTCATTGCTAAGGGAGGGAATCGTGTAACATCATGTTTTACAACAGCACTCTTCAGGGGCAAGCATACTAAAATCTTGCTCCTGGGGAGGAAAGCTATGGCAAATCTAGACAGCATACTAAAAAGCAGAGACATCACCCTGCCAACAATAGTGCGTATAGTCAAGGCCGTGGTTTTCCCAGTTGCAATGTACGGCTGTGAAAGTTGGACCATAAGAAAGGCTGAGCGCCAAAGAATTGAGGCCTTTGAACTCTGGTGCTGGAGAAGACTCCTGCGTGTCCCCTGGACTGCAAGGCGATCCAACCGGTCAGTCCTAGAGGAGATCAACCCCGACTGCTCTTTAGAAGGCCAGATCCTGAAGTTGAAATTCAAGTACTTTGGCCACCTAATGAGAAGGAAGGACTCACTGGAAAAGAGCCTGATGCTGGGAAAGATGGAGGGCAAGAGAAGGGGACGACAGAGAATGAGGGGGCTGGATGGAGTCACTGAAGCAGGAGGCGTGAGCTTCAATGGACTCCAGAAGATGGTAGAGGACAGGAAGGCCTGGAGGAACGTTGTCCATGGGGTCGCGATGGGTCGGACACGACTTCGCAACTAACAACAAATTCTAAATGGTTATCAAGTGAGGACTATCTGTATATTCTTGCAAATTCTATAGAATATTAGAAAGGAAACCAGAGCTTACTTATTTTTAAATGAGGAAAAAATGAGACTATGTAAATTTGAAGGTGGGAAAAACCACATATTGTTTATGCACTACACTTACAACCAGTGACCATTTAAAATTAGAGGCACTAAAAAAAGGGACCGCTTTTCACACTTGCAACCATTACAGCATCCCCGTGGTCATGAGATAGAAATTTGGATGCTCCACCACTGACTCATATTTATGACAGTGTCCCGGGGTCACGTGATCCCCTTTTGCGCCCGTCTGACGAGCAAAGTCAACGAGGAAGCCAGATTCAGTAAACAATCATGTGACTAATTTAACAATGTTGAGACTCTAGAAAGAGTGCAGAGAAGAGCAACAAAGATGATTAGGGGACTGGAGGCCAAAGCATATAAGGAACAGCTGCTGGAATTGGGGATGTCTAGTTTAATGAAGAGAAGGACGAGGGGGGGACATGATAGCAGGGTTCCAGTATCTCAGGGGCTGCCCCAACGAGGGAGTCAAGCTATTCTCCAAAGCGCCTGAAGGCAGGACAAGAAGCATCGGGTGGAAACTCATCAAGGAGAGAAGCAACCTAGAACTAAGGAGAAACTTCCTGACAGTTAGAACAATTAACCAGTGGAACAACCTGCCTCCAGAAGCGGTGAATGCTCCAACACTGGAAGTTTTTAAGAAGAGACTGGACAGCCATTTGTCTGAAATGGTATAGGGTTTCCTGCCTGAGCAGGGGGTTGGACTAGACAACCTCCAAGGTCCCTTCCAACTTTATCATCATTATTATTATTAACTGCAATGTTTCACGGAATTGTGGCAAGGTTGTTAAGTTGGGCAAAGCTCACTTTCACAGCAGTCTCGCTTAGCAACAGAAATTTTGGTCTTCATCGTGGGTCGTAAAGTCGAGGACTATCTGCAACTCTTAATACATTCTCTCCCCCCCCTTGGAGATGCACTTCTTTTTGGCCCTTACCTTTGGGTGTCCAGAGAGGAAATCTGGGAGGAGATAAACCTGTGCCAGCAGCTCCATATAGTCATGGCAACGGAAGTAATAAATATGGGAAAGAATATTTTCAAGAGAGAAAGTCTCCAGGGCTATTTGATGATCTGAAGAAAAAAGGGGAGGGGGAAAAAACCCCCAATAAAAACCTATATTGAATTTATGGTTTATTCCTCATTCCTGGCTTGAGACAGAGGCAGTTGACAGAGCAAGGTATGGGGAATAATCAGCTCCTTTCAGAGATAGCTTGTGGTAGTCTTTTGTAATAATAAATCACATAGTCATATGATCAATCAGACAATATATACCGAGTACGATCGAATGATAACCGTCTCTAGATTGGGCTATGTAAATGACATATTATTATATATCAGTATAATACATAAATATTAAGAATGCCTTGTTGCATCTGAAAACGTCTATTAGGTGTTGGGACTCGGAAGAAAATGCCTACCCAAAACTCTGACAAAACCCACTGCAGTTCCCAAATTTCCTGTACTGCCGCATTGCGTAAATTTTCCCTCAGAATTTTGTCAAATACCTTGAATGTTTCCAAGAAATTTGGGTTTTAGTTCACTGTAGATCAGACATGTCAAACACAAAGCCCGGGGGCCGGATGCGGCCCACAAAGTGGTTTCATGTGGCCCGCGAAGCCATCCTGGAAACAGTGAGGGAACGGCCCCCACTGCCTTGGCCCTGGCCCAGGCCAGCCGGGAGCCAGTGTACAATTTTGTGGTGGCCATCTATGCTGAAACGCATTCAGTCCTAAGACCTATATTGAATTTATGGTTTATTCACAAAGGCCATCTAGAAACAGCGAGGAAACAGCCCCTGCCGTGTTGGCCCCGCCCCCTGGGTGCATGCTGGGGAGGGGTCACCCTTTGTGAGGAATGAAGAAATGGACCATGCCTTGGCGCTTACCCCGGTCCCACCCCCTTCTGCCAGAGACCCTCAGATCTGTCTCACTCCTGCCCAGGCCCCCACAGGCACCCTGGACGCGAACGATGCAGATCTGGCCACGCCCACCCAGTGGGCCACACCCACTCCATCCACGCCCACCCAGTAGGCTGCACCCACCCTGGCCACACACACCCCGAGGGCAACCGCAATGCTGATGCGGCCCTCAATGAAATTGAGTTTGACACCCCTGATGTAGATGGTTGTGAAATCTCTAATGATTTCTGCCCGTGGAATGAAACCAATCCATGTAGTTCAGTTTCTCAAGGACTGCTGCCTCAGGTCAGAAGATATTCTGGGGGATTTTTATTTATTTATTTTCATTTATTTACATCCCGCCTTTATCATTTTGTGATGACTCTCCTGGACACTGCCCCAGATCTCTCTCCAGATGTCAGCTCGGAAGAAGATGAATTAGTTGCAGGCACATCTGGAAGGGAGTTGGGCCAATGGCTCCAAGCAGACATCTGAGAGGGATTTTGGGCTGAAGCACAGCTGCAGCAGGACAGCCCTGAGGCTTCAGCTGGGGAAAGCACGCAGCTGCAGCCAGCCAGTGACGAGGAAAAGGAACTGCCTTCTGCACCTGTTCCAAGAACAGGTAGGGCAAAGAGAAGGCAGGAGCAGAGAAGGTCAGCCAGATTACTTGCCAGGAGAAAGCCTCGCCCTTCTTGATGGGCTGCACCAGAAGCCGGCTGCCACAGCAGACAGATGGAAGCAATGCTGGGAACAAAGCGTTCATTTCCTAGCTGTATGTTTTCTGGTTGTCGTGATTCTTGCCTTGCTTTGGATCTGAGGTCTTCAAACTTGGCCCTTTGGACTCGTGGACTTCAACCCCCAGAATTCCTCAGCCAGGCACGTGTGCCTGGCTGAGGAATTCTGGGGGTTGAAGTCCACAAGTCATAAAAGGGCCACGTTTGAAGACCCCTGCTTTGGATTGACATCGTGCCTTGACTTGGATTATGCCTGGTGAACCCTGGACTTTTCTTGCCTCGTGAATCCTCTTATAATAATAATAGTAATAGTAATAATAATAATAATAAAGTTGGAAGGGACCTTGGAGGTCATCTAGTCCAATCCCCTGCTCAGGCAGGAAACCATTTCAGACAAATGGCTGTCCAGTCTCTTCTTAAAAACTCTCAGTGTTGGAGCATTCACCGCTTCTGGAGGCAGGTAGTTCCCCTGGTTAATTGTTCTAACTGTTAGGAAGTTTCTCCTTAGTTCTACCTTGGTTCTCTCCTTGATTAGTTTCCATCTGTTGCTTCTTGTCCTGCCTTCAGGCGCTTTGGAGAATTACCCCCTCTTCTTTGGGGCAACCCCTTAGATATTGGAACACTGCTATCATGTCACCCCTAGTCCTTCTTTTCATTAAACTAGACATGTCTACGTCTCGGTGCCCAATGACCTTTCTCTTATTCCAAATTTGGGGATGTCCATTGGTTTATTACTGTTAAGTGTTTTTCAATCTTGGCCACTTAGCTGGCATAGCCGGCTGGAGAATTCTGGGAGCTGAAGTCTTCAAATAGCCAAGTTTGAGGAAACACTGATTACTGCAACCTAATTCTGTATAAATAAAACATTCCGACTCAGCTTTGCATACAGTTACTTCCTATATCTGGGTAAATATTGAACGGATCTATGACGGTAAAGAAATAAATGGAACCGTTCGGATACGTAGCCAGGAAAAAAAAAGCATACTTTGCAGGAAGGCAAATAGAGTTTGGCAATTAACCTTCTTCTGGGCGCACTTCAGCAATAAGCTGACAGTGACGAATGCAGGCTTCTGCTATATCCACAACTCGATCAACCATAAAGCTCCCCTCGGTATCGATGAATATGGCTTCTGCAGCAAGTCCACCAAAGCATTCTGGAATCTGCACATC